ATATTTCCATGTTGCGAAGTACAGCTTTTAAGTTTGAGGTGACCAGTTTTGCTTCCAGGTTTTAACAAAGCTCAAGGAAACTGTCATAAAAGCCGCCAAATTCAAAGAGGTGGGTGGGAAGATGAAAGAATGCATCAGGGCTGTGGAGACAGACTGACGTGGTGTTTCCTTTTACCTCTTCCCCATCCACATGGACAGTGTGACAAAAAGTGAGAATATTCATTCCCAGCATGTTCAGATCCAAACACTGGGCTGGTCTTTCTCTAACAGCTCTCCAAACTATGCAGTTCCAACCCCCAAGAATGAGTGCTGCGTTGGGCTCCCCTCTCAGCTCCTTGTCCAACCCTCTGTGAGGATTTCTGCAATTCAGAAAGACTTCCCAGTCCACAGCAGTAACTCTAAGAAAATATCAAGTCTGGGGAGACCCACCTCCAGGCATCGCTTGCTAAGCTGGAGACAGAGGTGGTGGAGAAGTTGGATTAAAGTCCCAATAAGAAAGTAGAGTTCTTTTCCATCAGAGCTCAAACTAGGTGAGAAGAGGTTGAAAGAAAAGGTCTGTAAAGTAAAGAACAGCAGCTGAGGGAGTGTCCCTTGGCTGATACCATAGGTGTTAGGTCACAGCAACAATGAAGGAGCTGTGGTACTGCCAGGAATTTGGGAAGAGTGGAGAGGCTTGGAAGAAATATGTGAAATCTCATGAGTCAAGGAGAGATACAGAAAAGGACTGCGCAGAAGCAGGAGAGCTATAGCTTAGGGCAGATGTCTTGAGGGTATAATATACTCAATCAGAAATTTATAATTTATTTTAGAGAAACTCAATAGCCTGGAAGCAGAACTGGAGGGCTTGTTCAGTGGAGGTCATCTGTAGCCATGGAAATTAGAAAAACCTGCAGCAGCTTTAGATGGCAAAAGATTTCTGAGTGGAAGTGAGCTCCCTGGAGATACGGGTAAGAGCAGATGAATGTTTGTGGAGCAGGAGACCAGGAAAGGTTGAGGCAGGTCTTTCTTCAAGAGCAGCTTACGTGCACCTTGTGGAAGAGAGATGCAAGGTCAGATGCTTTCACTGGTGGAGATCTTGGCTGGTGGAGACTGCAGTTCCTACTGTGGATGAAGAATACCCACACTGGAGGATAGGTAGTGCAGAATGACAGGAATGTTAGTAGAATGCAATTGAGCAAAAGAACTATGAATATGAGATGACTCTGAATTTAAGAGGATGAGGATGAGACAAGTGCTTGGGCCTGGTGCACTGGGAAGACCCACAAGAATCGGGTGGAGAGGGAGGTGGGAGGGGGGATCGGGATGGGGAGTACATGTAACTCCATGGCTGATTCATGTCAATGTATAACAAAACCCACTGAAATGTTGTGAAGTAATTAGCCTCCAACTAATAAAAATAAATGAAAAGAAAAAAAAAAAGGATGACGGAATAAAAGAAGTGGAAAGAAAGAGCATGAGGCAGGTACTGCTAGGATGGAAATTTGTACTGAGGAACTGACTTGGGTAATGAATCATGGAGTAACAGATTAAATAATAATAAACAGAAAAGCCCGCCCAGGAGTAGATCAATGCCCCAGAAATAGTCAGTGATATGAGAAGTACTGAAACTTTCCCTCTTGGCCTCTTGGTTAGTTAGGGGTGTGGTCTTTACTGTAGAGACTGTGGGAGACACATATTAGTTGAGAGATCCAGTTACAGGTAATGTGAGCAGGTGAAGGTATGGGTGAGAAATTAATTTGGGGATATAGGAAAGTTTGCCCTCAGTAGAATTAAAGTACCAGAAAGACCTCGGAAATTGTTTAGTACAGTAGTTTATAACCTTAGTTGCACTGTATAATAACACAGACAGTGCTCAAACAAACAAAAACCAAACTCAGTATCTACACGGATCATATCAAAACCTTTGGGCTGGAACCCTGAAACAAGTCCTTTTTTTTTAAAAGTCTCCCAACTGACTCCTATGTGTGCTGGATAGAGAACTACTACTTAGGATTTGGGATGAATATGGGTGAGGAGTGGGGTGGATCTCGAGGAGGAGGTATTTGGAGGGGTGACAGAAAAGACAGTATTTACAGATAACAGTGATGAGAGGATCAGGGAGACAGGAGGGAGACTGGGGGGAACATGGGCCGGCAATGTGCCAAGAAAGCAGAAGTTTGGTAATGAAGGGCCTTTCCGAGTTAATGGGCCCCAAAGTTCCACTTCGAGCATGAGCATAAGGCAGTTTTGGCAGGGCTGAACTAACACTCTCTTTGGTGTGCTGGGTTACCTGTAACTAGGATTTTGGCATTTCTGCATTGTTTAAAGTCCATGAGGTGTAAGAAAGCCATATTCATTATTTACGTTTCTTTCAGGCTAAGTGCTGGATCCCGATGCTGAGAATTTATAAACGTCTATTTGGAAAGCACTGACCATAATATAAACTCCTCTTGGGTTGTTTTTTACTTCTTAAACCTGTTTGTCAGTCTCTCTTAGTGTTGACCATTTGCATCTCTTCTCACTAATTATAATAAAAATTATTTTATGAGATCTTTTTTTTTTTTGCAAGGATTTGTGTATGTCTGTCGAGAAGAAAGGTCAAGAGTGCCTGAGTATGAAAATTACTTGTGTGAATATAAAACGTGTGTATCAGATATTTCAGATACGGTGTAGATCTTCTATGAATGCTTTTTGCAACGATTTTTCTTTGAATTACTAAAAAAAGTTGCCTTAATCAGACCCTGTAGATTGCCTACACACACAGTTTTTCCTAAAAAGGATTTATGCCTAGGATGATTTCTATCCGGACTGCACCTTGGAAGTATCACATTCACAAAGAATATAAAAGAAATAACCTCAAGCTTTACACAAGAGCTGTGTGTTCACATCATTTAACATCAGGAACTCCTACAGGCTAAACCATCAAAAACATATCCAGAGACTAACTGTGGTTCCTCTCCTCATGGACACAACCTGCAACACTCAGTTTTCATGATTTAGAAGTACTCTCTGGATGGAAATTCCAGAAGGAAATACCCTGAATTTCAGAAAAAATCTCTCTTCCTGGGGCTTTCTAGATGCATCTTTGTCCCACTTCTCTACTTCCTCCTCGTGTGGCTCCTCTTTGGCTGCCCCACGTCTCCCTTGCAAAGGCCGGGCTCCCCTAGGCCCTGGGCTCTAGGGTGTGGCTCTCTGAGCTGCCCACTTGAGGAGTAGAGTGTCCAGACGGCCACTAGCTGCCTGGGCATGAAGCCTGCTATTTCACCTGATAGTGTGACCGAGAGCAACTTACTTCACCTTTCTATGCCTTGGAGTGCACAGCTGTAAAACGGGGACAGTGGGGTCCCACAGGTTGTTGTGAAGATTCAGTGGGTTAATAAAAGGTACGTAGGGACTTCCCTGGTGGTCCACTGGCTAAGGCTCTGAGCTCCCAATGCAGGGGCCCTGGTCCCATCCCTGGTCAGGGAACTAGATCCCACATGCCACAACTAAGGGTTCACATCCTGCAACTAAAGGCCTTGCATGCTGCATCTAGGACCTGGCACAGCCAAATAAGTAAAAAGCTATAAGAAAAGGTACTTAGAATCTTGTGCAGCACATTGGAAATTCTCAGTAATGTTTCTTGTCTCTGTTTTCTCTCTCTACTCTCCCTTGATATTCTTCCCAATCATCATGGATGACAAATATCAATGCTGTATGGTTGGTTCCCCAAACTCCCAGGATCTGCTCTTGGCTGGGAGAGTCACACCTATATTTCTAACTGTTCATTGGGCATCTTGGTCCTGGTGTCGAATCCGTGTTCTGATTCAATATACCCAAGGCAAAGCCACCATATCACGACTCCAGAGCTACCCACCCCCGACACTGCTACTATTACTTAGAGGCAGACCTGACCTTCTGCTCCACCCATGCAGGGCTCCTAGTCTTCAGGGACTGCAAGAATTACTTATTAGGACTTTTCCTACCTGTTTCCCTTCTTCTCACTCCTCTGTCTTAACCCCAGCTCTATTACACTTTTCTTAGCTTGACTCTATCTTTCCACTGACGTCAGACGAGTATTTCTAATATACATTTATAGTCATGTTTACCTTCTATTTACACCTCTCCAGTGATTCTTCATTAACTCAAGAAATGGAATCTCCACCCTCTCTCTGATCCTCAAGGTCCCTCTGAATAAGACGCCTATCTATCACTTTTGGCTTTCTGGAAATGAGATGCTGTATAGAGTCTGTATTTACTGTTCCCTCTGTTTTCTTTGTGCTGTTCCCTTCACCCAGAATCTTGTGTTTCTTCCCCATTATTGATAGTCAAATCCTAGCTTCCTATAGGGCCAATCTCAAATGTTAGCTCCTTTTCAGATTTCCTCAAAATAACATGATGCCTCCTTCTCCTGAATTCCCATAAAACTTTGCATTCACTTATGGCATTTATCACACTCTGATTTGCCTCCAAGTCCTTGGCATACTTCTTTTCACTCTCCTTCTAGATCATAATGTCTTCAGAGGCACTCACTAGATCCTTCAAAGCTTCAAATGGGAGAAAATGAATGGCAGTAATAGCACCAGGAATTAAGCCCATTTATTCTATAAAGCAGAAGCGTGTTGTCAAATGCTAACCCTCTTCCACACAGTCCTTATAAAAAGAATGGGAAAGCATATAATGAAGCAGCACACAAGAGGAACATAGAGTGTGAGCAATTATGCCAGCTCCTTTTATAGGAAGAACACAGCTGAGATAAACATGGAAGCAGGTTATTTACCATCCACGCGTCTCACTGCCAAATTCTTCCACTTCTAAATTTTTCATTAAAAGAAATCAAGGAAGGTAAACAAAAGTAGCCCTTGGGAGGCGTCGGCTGAATGGAAATGGCGTATTTATCAGCAGGGCCCCAGGGAAACGCCTAATTTGTTCTTGTAGCTGCATCTCTGGGGGCCAAACACTTGTGCTCACGCGCTTGGTGCACGTACACACACACCCCGTCTCTAGGTGTGAGGTGCGCGGGCCAGGCTGGGGCTGCCTACCTTCAGGGCGTCCTGAGTGTCGTCCAGACAGTACACTCGGAGGCTGTACTCCAGCGAGGAGCAGCAGAGCGGCCCGAAGAGGGCCAGCTTCAGGCGCTTGGCGGCTGCTTTGGTGGTGGACTGCCCGACCAGGGCGTAGGTGCCGAGGTTCTCGGAGAGGAGGTGGCAGGCCTCCGCGTCCAGCTGAATGTAGCACGGGGTGGTGAAGTTTTCCTCGCCCACCACCACCACGTCCTGCGGGACCAGAAGGAAGGGGCAGTGGCTGAGACTCTGATGGCCATGATGGTGGCCAATGGAGGTGCAAAGAGCAGGGCCTTTACCCCTGAGTTTTGATTGTTCCCTTTCCTGCTCTTTTTTCCTTTCTCTGACTTTACTATACTTTTGTTTCCATTCTTCATCATTCTCTCCCTTACTCTGTTTGCCTGATAACATGCTTTATTTAGAAGACCTTCATTTAGCCTTTTTTGATCTTTCAAGAATCTCCGTTCTGGGGTCTATCTAAAATTCCAAAAGAAATTTACATTATCCTTTGAACTTCAGTATATTTGAATTGATTTTCTGTTTCGGACCATTTGCTTTAATCTCTAAATTGCTAATTTAATCCAAAAGTACTCTTTTAGTTTGATGTGATTTCAGCATGGTAGTTTTTCCCCTAAAAATTTAGGGGTTTGAAAAGAATTTTTAAAAAATAATTAGGAAAATTAAAGAATTATGCAATACAATTCTACTGAGTTCTCCCAAACTCACCTATCAATTACTTTTCCAAAGTGGTATACTGCCTTTACCTCATAATCTGGGCTCTTGGACTTTGCTAAAAGCACAGTATGGCAAACTCTATGCATTTGACACATGTTATTTTTTCATGTAAGCCTTTAAGCAGTCTTTTAGATTTTTAATATTCAAGCAAGAAATAAAGACAAGTGGAACTGATAACTATATTAACCGGGTTTTGATTTAACCAAATGACTCTGGCCACAGAAATCATCTGAAAAACCAAGCACAGAATCCATAAAACAAGGGTCACAATTCCATGGTAGAAAGGTAACATCATTTGTGTGAAGCAGACAGAAAATAACAGGGAACGGTAGAGACTGCGGTGAAGCACAGCACAAACCAGTCTAAAGAGCTCAGTGTCCACTTGCCTTTAGTCACCGTGGCCATGCAGGAATGGGCTCTCAGTACCTTAACTGTAAGCATTTTTGCTGTAGGCATTTTTGCCTGGTGATTAATGGGTGGTAAAGCCGCTTTGCCATAAAAGGTGAAATAGTAAAAAATAAAAGACATTAACAAAAATAATAAAACATGAAAACATGAATAACAAAAAGACTTTATTTTGAAATAAAAAATATTTTAAAACATTTGAAATGTGTGGGGATTCATGACAATACTGTACAAATAACTTGTTTTTATTTTGAGGGTTATACACATGCCCCTGTCTTCAATATCTTTCAATCCTAGTATTATACATATTTTTTGCTTGTTCATGCATCTCCTTATTTGGCATTTCACTTTTCTTATGCAAAAATTTCTTCCTAATTAAGAGAAGTATGTTTCCAAATACTAGGATGCATATTTATAATTGAGCTTTATATTGTGTTGTAAACGTCTCTATACCGTTGCTTGTGCTTGGTTCACATTCTCACTTGTCCCATGACAGATGTTCCAAAGTTCTATGAGAAAAGTGGGCTCAACTCTGTGCCTTTTCAGCCCTTGGCCTCTTTCAGATTTATGGGATATAGAAATGTTGAGTACGTGTTAGTAGAGAGATGAAACCAAGCTGTCAACTTTGGTTTGAGGTTGACCAAAGAGGTGACCAAACTCACACCAAACTGTCCACCGGGTATTTTATCTTTCACACCAAAATTGACTTATGACCAATTAGTTACGTGGCAAAGATGCTTGTGGTAATAACGATGTCTATGTCGAAGATGCTCACAGTGAAAGTACAGTAAAAGTGCCAGGCACAGCAGGAGTTCAGGGCTAGGGAGGACGCAGCCTTTAATTTCTCAAGAGAAGTTGGAAGTTCAGATTTTGTTTTTTGAAATCGTCCAACTTCTAATTCATTCAAATTTAAAAGAGAATTTCATGTGGGAGGAATGAAACCATGTGAGGGCACAACTCAGCCTCTGCATTAGACTACTTATTCTCTGCAGAGGCCGCAACCAAGTTACATTGCTTCCTACTGTATCTATGTGGGCCTGGCTCATGGTGAGCAAATAGTTATTTATCAAAAACATGAGCAAATGTTTCATCATAAATTGAGTCCCCAGGGCTTGTCACAGCTTTGAAAGTTGCCACCTCACATGGCTATTTATTAGTTAGGTCTTGCAACATCATCTGAGCTACATACACCATGACTTGTGTTTTAATAGCATTCATGAAATCATTTCTTCAGCTGAACCCATACCTAAAGATGAAGCTCTAACTGAACTAAAAAGGAGAGAAAGGGACTCAGCACCTCTAGGCTTATTTCAGCTCCAAAAGGACACCTGGAAAAAAGCTGCTTTCTTCAGTAGGGCAAGGACAAGCCTTGAGTGTCATTTCCTGATGGCATGTTACAGAAAGCCTCCTAGAAGAAATGGCAGAGGACAAATGCTCCCTGTTCCCATCACAAATATAATTACAGTCTTTTCATAAGGATTTCCCTCTTCTACTCTTCATAACTCTTTCTTTTCTTTTCCTCTTATCATTATTGTTATTGCTATTATCACTCAAATCCAGAAATACGGTATTATGGTAATAGGTGGAGAATCATGCCAACAAAGTAGGATCCCTCGAGATTAAGACTTTGGTATGTTTCTGAGATAAATCATTTAAACTTAAATGGAACTGAAGTTAGACCTGTTCAAGTCCAGTCTTAACATTAAGTATAGCCCTAGACTTTAATCCAGGTCCTCTTGCCAGGAGCAGTGCTCACATGACCAAGATGAGTGTATGTCCATAGAGAGGACATTCCAGATAATCCCAGAGATGCCTGCTATGCTTCTATCTCTACTATTATTTTTTCCTAAAATATTAGGAGTTGAGTCATAATGTTATTTTTTTTCGTATAGTTTTCTTTCCCAAAAGAAAAGTACTGTAAGTAATCACAAAATACACACAACATGTGCCATGTGCTGGGCTTAGTCGCTCAGTCATGTCTGACTCTTTGCAACCTTATGGACTGTAGCCCGCCAGGCTCCTCTGTCCATAGGATTCTCCAGGCAAGAATACTGGAGTGGGTTGCTATGCCCTCCTCCAGGGATTCTTCCCAACCCAGGGATCGAGCCAAGGCCTTCCGCATTGCAGGTGGATTCTTTACCCTCTGAGCCACGAGGGAAGCCCACACACAACATGCATATTGGATAATTCTCTTGTAAAGACTACACAAATCACTTTTTTTTTAAAGGTATTTGGTATAAAATCTTCATGGTAAATATAAAAAATCCTTTTGCAGTTAATTTCAGGTTTAACTGCAGGGTTCTGATGGAAACAGCAGGATCTGTTTAAGGTGCTGCCCTTAATAAATTCCAATGGCCACAGCTACAGACAGCCAAGGTGCTACACATAGTCTTCATTGTATCAGAGCTTAGGATACACATATCCTGCTTTCCCAGGTTAAATTCAGACCTATATTTCCTGGACTTGTTGGCAAGTAAGTCTTAACATTTTCTGACCCAGGTGCAATGTTTCTCTACCTGACAATTAAAACACACACACACACTAACACACACACACACACAGGCTTCCCTGGTGACTCAGATGGTAAAATATCTGCCTGCAATGTGACAGACCCAGGTTCAATCCGGTGGGGAAGATCTCCTGCAGAAGTGGGTACCCATTCCAGTATTCTTGCCTGGACAATTCCATAGACAGAGGGGTCTGGTTAGCTACAGTCTCTGGGGTCACAAACAGTCGGACACAACTGAGTGACTAACACGTTCACTTTCATATCTCTATATATACTATGTGTGTATATATATATATATATTTCCCTTCCCAAGATAGTGTGTATATTCAAAAGGACTTATGTAAGACTCGTAAGTGCACTTCCCTATGAGTTAGCTACTGACTGGCCATCACTTGTTTTGTGCTTACCAGTCAGTAGATAAAGCACTCAGGAGCCAGTGTCTGACTGTCTGTCTCCCATCTCCCCTTCCCTCCCTCTATCCCTTCCTCTCTCTCACTCTTTCTCTCGGAGTGTAAGCTAGAATTCCGCCCATGTTTTGCTTTAAAAACAAAAGCCTTCCCACCGTAGCCTGTGCTTGTCCGCATGAACGGCACCTTCACCCCCACAGAGGCTCACCTCCCACTGGCCCTGCGCTGCCTGGTTCTTGAGCTGGATCTTCCAGTCCTCGGTGCTGGGATCTGCACAGTGATGCATAGTGAGGATGACGGGCCGGGTCAGCAGGGCTCCTGGGGGCCCACAGCTCACCACAGGGGTCAAGAGAGTCTGAGAGTCCTCCATGGGCGGCCTAGGAGGGGAGCAGAGATCGCATGGTGACAGTTCTCCGGTATTCAGGTACTATGTACTCACTGAGAGTTCAGATCTAAAGTTGCACACACAGTTTCCTCTTGGAGGTTTTACTGTTGGAGGGTGGATGGTGGGTTGAGGCAGAATTAAGAAAGAAGACATGCATTTCATACCAAGACTTTGATCTTGTAAGACTTGAGGTCTTTCTGATAATAGTGAATCTGCCTGCATCTCTTTGATCCTCTCCTTCAGACACAGGTCTGCCTTTGGTAATTTCCTCTAAATTCATGTACAGATACTTTCAGGATGGAATGAGGTGGAACAGAGTCCTTATGAAGTTACATAAGCCTTTTTTTCTGATAATACTTGCCAGTGGTTTCATAGAGTTTTAGATACTTTGTGTTTTTATGACCTAAGTTGAAAAACACTTCAAAAAAATCACTTTAGAATAAGGATACCCTAGAGCTAAACTTCTTCCAAATGACTTTCAGAAATAATTCAGGCTAGTATACCAGATTCATTTTTTCAAATATGACCAAGGAAGAACAGAGCACTGTATTTCTATAGCAATTTAAATGGGTATTTCTCTACATGTATACTTCATACATGGTGGCTCAGTGATACAGAATCCGCCTGTGATGCAGAAGACCCGGGTTTGATCCCTGGGTCAGGAAGATCCCCTGGAGAAGGAAATGGCAACCCATTCCAGTATTCTTGCCTGTAGCATCACATGGACAGAGAAGCCTGGCAAACTACAGTCCATGGGATCACAAAGAGGACACAACTGAGCCACTGAACAACAATAATAAATCATACTCTGAGAATTTGGGCGGAATGAACTTCAAAGATTCAAATTCTTTAAGTCTATGTTTCTTTTTCCTTTTTAAATTGCCTTATTCTTTCCCTAATAAGACTGTAATTAACAGGTAATGAATAAACTAACTCAAACTGTCAGTTGGTATGTGAGGACAGAGCTCCAAGGTGTTGAGTGGACTGCCCAAGCCTCACGACTAACAAGGGCTCGTGCTGGGACTAAAACCAATGCCTTTGCAAAAGCGACACTCAAAACTATGCTGTCAGAATAGCCTGACTTAAGAAATCCTGGGCTCACAGAATTTGAGAGGAGTAAGGACCCTCAGGGTCAGCAAGCACAGAGCTTCTCTAACAACATGCTGACGTTTGGTTGGCAGTGAGGGGTCACCTTATCTATTCTCAACTCAAATTTACAGAAAAATTCTTACTTGGAATGAATACAACGTGCCTTCCTGACACATCTCTCCACATATCCTTGACCTGCTTTCTCTCCACTCTGACATTAAAGAGCCTCTCTCAAGCATTTAGAGATTTTTATATCTCTAAAAATCTTCTTCCAGACCAAACTTCCTCAATTTTTGCAACTTCAGCTAGAAAAGCATGGTTTCCAGATCTCTCTCCATAATTCCATCTTTCTTTTCAGGGAGATGTCTTTGAGCTTCACTGTCTTCACCAGAGTGAGGCATCATGAAATGAAAGTAAGACCATCTCCATGTGGTGTCCATGCAAGAGTGGTTCCAAGGACCGCCCCCCACCCGCCCCCCACCACCCCCACCGCCGCAGACATCAAAATCCCTGGATGTTCAAGTTCCTTATATAAAAGGGCACAGTATTATATTAAATGGCATATAACCATTATGTAAAAATTATATAACTACAAAATTTCTTTAACCATTTATAACTAAAATTATATAACAATTACATAAAATGATTATAACCTATGCATACCCTCTCACATACTTTAAATCATCTCTAGATTATTTATCATACCTAATACAATGTAAATGCTATGTAAATAGTTGCCAGTGTACTGAAAATTCAAATTTCTTTTTGGAACTTCCTGGAAAAATTTTTTTTTTCCCCAAATATTATTGATCCAAAGTTGGCTGAATCTGTAGACACAGAACTCGTGGATAGAGGGCTGACTGTACTTAAATATACAGTATAGCAGACTACTGCTTTCTTTGTTTTGGAATGACAGTGAAGCCTGCTGGGCCACAGTCCATGGGGTCACAAGAGTCAGACATGACTTGGAGACTAAACTACCATCACCATGTACTTATATCAATGCCTCACAAAACTGTTGCTTTAGATTATTCTCAATCAATTATTTATAAATATTATTTAGCAGACTTGAGTTAGATGGGAAGAGAGAGATAATATGGTTAAGCATGTCCTTTATAAAAGGAGGCAATGACGCCCTAAGAAGGTTAAGTAATTTGTTAAAGCTAACCACTCTGTACTCTTAACATGAAAGGCTCTTAGGCTGTCTGTGGTTATAGCAATGGCTTCTGAACCTATACAGAGAAATTTATATTTAGCCATCTAATTTTACTTTAATTGTTTTAGGAAATTTTTCAGGTCATCTATTTCTTAATGCTATGTTTTTCCTCCATATATTGGCTACCTCTTCTAGTCTTTTATCTTCCATAAATTTGATGTAACTGCCATTTATGGTCTCATTGCAGTCATTGATAACACTGTAATATAAGAACAGGGCAAAGACAGAAACCTTTTCAAGGACACTACTTGAAACCTCTCTCTAGTCTGACATCAATACTTTGAGTTACTTAGTTCAGTCAAATATAAACCCATTAAAAATGTATACTGTCCAGTTCATATCTTTCTATTTCACTCACATGGATATTAGAAGGGTCATATCAAATTTCTTTACAAATTGCATCAGCTACTTGAACTGGATTTTCCTCTAGTCTTTATCTATGGTTAATATATTCAATACTATGTAACCTAGAAATTAGCTTTTATCTGTAGCCTACCCTCACTTAACACTCAATGAATGATAGTAACCACTATTGTTTCTTTTTAATGCTGTTGGAAGACTATTCTCCCTTAATCTCTCATGTTTTTGCAAGGTCCCAGTTGTCTTTTCAAGACAACTGTATAGCAATCATCTTTGACGATACAGGGCTTACCTCTGGAGCACACAGTAGACATGTCCACTTGCCATTATAAAACACTCAGGCTCCCTAAACACAATGGTTTATTCCTGGAATGGAACCACTGAATGTATAGATGTCATCTGTCTTTACATCACCCTTTCAGAACTGAGGCTTGGGAAACTGGCACAAAAATGGTAACACTTTGGATGGTGCTATTGCTGTGAGCACTTTGACTCAGGAGTCTTGTGTCATTTATCAGCATCTACAAAACTGTGGCAGCCTTGATAGGTCACAAGTAAGGTCAAATTTTAGAAATTCCTAAGTTCTTAGTGACTATTATCATCAGGTCTAAGAACTCAGTTAAAACTCGACATATTTCCCCTTAATAAAATTTGGCTATCCGTGGTTCCCATTTTAAAATTTCACTAGAATCTTTCAACCTATGGCTTTCCTTTCTTCCTATTTAGAAAAAAAAGATAGTTAAAAGTCATCTCTTTTTAGCCTTTTGATACATTCTTCATTCTCACTGAATAACAATAAATTTTGATTAAATCTAAAGTCATCAAAGTACCTGGAAATGTACTTATATTTGGAATTACAAGGGAGGTGGCAGCTTGAGAACTCATTACTGTCCCCCTTAGTTTTCATTTCCTCTCAACCCACTCTGTCCTCCTTTGTTCCAGTCTGAAATTCATTCTCTTAGGACATGAGTGAGTGACGTCTTGCTTTCACTGTGCCATAGTTGACATTACACTTATCTTCCCTAAGCAGTAACCACATTCTTATTTAATTCTACTTTTCTTACGGGGGGGGGGGGGGGGGGCGGAGTCACGGCTGCATTTTCCTGAGCACTATTCTTACCTTTAGTTACAAGTACACCTTCAGAATGCACATTAAACTTTTAAAGAAGGAGACTAAAGTGAAATCCATTTCAAGTGGTCCTTGCAGTAGAGATGGGGATTGGAAACAGCTGTCTCTCAGTCTGCTGTTAGCAGCCGGCACTTGAGGAGGAGGAGGAGGGGTTCCTCTCATCACTGAGTTGGAACAGAAGGGAGACCACTGCCTGCTGGGCTGGGGCGCTGTCAGACCTGCACTCCCCTGGCATGCAATATTGATGGGCACCATTCTTGGAGGAGGGATAGCAAGGGAGGGAAGGGGCAGTAGGTGTCAAAAGAATTTATTAACCCAGTGAGATGCAAGAATGTAATGAATAGGGAAGTGGTGATGTGGAATTCATAACCGGGAATGAAAAACAAAGAAGAAATAATGATAAGAATCTTTGGGGGTTTTCAAGATGAAAGAAATAGCACTGAAATTGGAAACACTTCCAAGCATACATGGAAGGAACCACTTAGGAAAGGTTAAGATTTGACTGTGTGAATCCAAAGGTCACAGCGTTTAAATCTGCATTCCCTTTATTTACATAAAGGGAGGATATTAAAATACATAAAACAAAAATAGTAGAAAATAAATTTTTAAAAATCTGTTTTATGTTTTTGCAGAGAAAGGCTTTACTCTGTTATGTCTCATGTGTTATCTAAGATATTTAAGCAAACTTTCTGTAAATATTAATTGCAGATGATATGGAAATGAACGCAAAGCAAAAATTAGCTACAGAAATAGCAATTAAGTAGAAATCCAGTAATTAACAATGATTAAATTTTAAAAACTTTTCAGAGTCCAACAAAGATAATATCATGATGAATGTTGGATGGGCTCTGAGCACCCTAAGACAAAGCCCTCAGATGGGAATTTTAGTTTCCTGTAAGATTTTCTTACCCTTTGCTTGCTCTTATCAAAGTGAGGAGAATTTCTACAGAGAAGAGCACAATTTACAAAACTTTTATAAAAGCTATTGCATTGGCTGCTCAAGGCACATCTGTAAGGTAGGCAGGATGAGTATTTATAGCACTTTTTTTTTCTCCCAAAGAGGAAACTGAAATCTAAAGAAATTAACACACTTGCCCAAAGCCACAAAGCTAGTCATAGGCAAAACTGGGATCTGAACACAAATCATTGGTTTTCTTTCCCAGCAGTGGTGTATTCTGAGTTGCTTATCCAGATTTAG